ATGTGATGTTGAAGAAAGTGTCGTTGTCCACTCCACGGTTCGTGCAATCATCCCACCCACCCACCCACCCACCCACCCACCCACCCAACCATATGTAATGGATTGTAAATCCCCCGCGGCGCATCCAGGCCATTTGCGAGTATCCGCTTTACGAGTCATGGGACGCACTTGTCGCCTCACCCCTTCTCCCTCCCCATGCCGCGTCTGTTGTCCTTCCTCCCCAGGAGGGGGAAGTCCATGCGCCAAGAGCCCCCCCCCTGCAATGGAGTGGGAAGGGATGGGTTGAGAGGGCACTTAACACCGCTCGGGCGTGTGCTTCTTTTTTTGGGGGGTGAGGACTATCGAGGAGCCTTTTGGGCCGTTTTTGGGAAAAACCATGCATGAAACCGAACAATGCACGGGGGAATGGCCGTTCGAGCGAGGGGGAGGGGCACGTTGCCAGATATGGTGCGAGTGCACCTGGCCAGCCTCTCCCCCTCTCCTTTCCTATGTTGCCCTCTGCTGCTGCTGCTCCTCCTCGTCCTCCTCCTCTTCCTTCATCTCCTCCTCCTCCTCCTCCTCCTCCTCCTTTATCTCCTCCTTTATCTCCTCCTCCTCCTCCTCCTCCTCCTTCATCTTCTCCTCCTCCTCCTCCTCCTCCTCCTCCTCGTCCTCCTCCTCCTCCTTCTCCTCCTCTGGAAGGGAGCCTAGAGGTCGAGCCCCCCCCCCCAGCCCCCTTCCTAACTCTGGTTCCGCCGTGCTTTGGGCGATCTCGCAGGTAGGGCGGGAAGTTCCACCCTACTTTCCGAGCTCCTCGGATGCCGATTTCCGCCCTACTTTGCCGTCTCTGCCCCCGCCATACGTCGGCCCAAGGAAAGTTCCTTGACTTTTGGCCCCGGCGCTCGCCAGTGGAACTCGGCGGAAGTGCAACCACACCGAAAACGACGGAAAACTGGCGGAAGGCTGGCGGAAGTAAGAGGGCGCCCCTTCCGAGCCCCCCTTGGTACCCTCCCTAGGAGCCCAGCAAGGCAGCCTTCTCGCGTGGGCTGGGCGGGATCCTGCCTGACTCAATCCCTTCACATAGTAAAGTTTAGCTCAGCCGGATCAAGATCCCGCCAGTTAAACATGGAGTGAACCACGATCCCGTCCCGTTCCAAGATCCCGCCAGCCTGGGGTCGGCCCGACGCAAAACTGGGTTGAGCATTTGCAGCCTCTTTGCCGTGTTGTGGTCGTCTTGAGGTCATCTTGAGATCATCTTGAGACCATTTTGAGATCATATCCGACTCATTGTTGAATCACCCGGACGTCGTCAGGTCATTTGGGAGCCGCCTCGGTTGCGATCGGATCCATCTTGCGGCCATGGTGCAAATTCGGGGTCGCTCGTTGCTCGTAGGTTAGGCCATCTTAGAGTCAGCCTGAGACGATCCTGCAGCCATGTTGGGATCATGTTGGGGGGGCGTCATCCTAGAGACGCCTGGAGGTCGTCGTTTGTTGTTTGCTCCCTCTTGGAGCCATTTTGTGTTATGGGGACATCTTAGGATCGTCTCCGGGTGAGCTCTGAGCACGCGTGCACAACGTGCCGTCTTGCCGAGGGCGCACTTGCAAATATATCCCTTTGCAAGGTTTCCAGGAAACTGTTCTTGGGGCCAAGTAGCTTTGCGAAAATATCCGCCCTACTTCCCTGGGGTGGTAATTTTCGCCCTGCTTGTTTCCATCCGACGGGATGCATTTCCGACAAGTTTTTGTGTGGTCTTTCATGGGAGCCTCAGAGGGTCCCAGAACTCCTTGCGGCTTGGGAGAGTTCGTCCAGATCTCGTCGGATTTGGCAGATTTTTTGACGACACCTAGACGAAATCTGGACGAACTGGTGAAGAGGGGTGGTCGAAATCCGGACGACATCTGGTCGAAATCACGTTTTCGATAGGGCCGCGGAGGTCCGCAGAGGCTCCCATGAAGGCTCACTCAGAAGCCCGAGTCAGAACATCAACCAAAGTACGGCGGATCTGGAGTCAGGACCCGCTGTCGGACGGGGCTAGGGCGTTCGGGAACGCTCTCAGAGCGTTCCGGAACGCTCTGAGAGGGCCGCGGCGCCCGAGACATCCTCCAGGGCCGCGGAATCTCAGAGATTCTCGATCTATCCTCACCCGATGGTATCCTCATCCTGGCATCGTCGTGCGCTGAGCCCCCCGCTCGTCGCGCGTCTCTGGCACCGCGGGCGCCGCAGCGGCGAGGGCGGCCGTGGCCGCGCGGCTCTCTTCGGCAGGTCGTGCCGCCGAAGCCGCGGCTCTGCTGGCGCCCACGCCGCGCTCACCCGCTTCCGCCCTGACAGCGCGCCTTCGGCACGCCTGTGGGCATCTTGGCGCCTCCTCCCCTCATGCGTCCCTTCTGCATTCTCCCTCCGCCTCCATCCTCACTCCTCACTCCTCACTCGTCGTCCTCCTCCTCATCCTCCTCCTCATCCTCCTCCTCTCCCTCCTCCTCATCACCAGCATCATCATCATCAGCAGCAGCATCATCATCAGCATCAGCATCAGCATCAGCATCATCATCATCATCATCATCATCATCATCATCATCATCATCATCATCATCATCATCATCATCAGCATCAGCATCAGCATCAGCATCAGCATCAGCATCATCATCATCATCAGCATCATCATCATCATCATCCTCATTCCGTGCCTGCGCTTGCGCCTCCACAACCTCCGCTTCGACAGTCTCCGCTTCTTCCTCCGTCTCCCCCGTCCTTCTCCTCCACTCTCTCCTTCTCCTTGCGCCGCCGTTCTCTCCTGCTCCTCCTCGTGTTTCTCATCCCTCTTCTCCTGCTCCACCTCATCCTCCTCCTCTTCCTCCTCGTGCTTTGCCTCCTTTGCCTCCGCCTCGTCGATTTGCTGCTCCACGTGCTCCTGATCAATCTGCTCTCGCCCGCCAGAGCGCAACGCTCAGTCTCTTCCGTAGTGTTTGCGTAAGTCGCCATCTTGTTTCAGGTAGGGTTGTCCCATTACCAAGCTGAGTCTGCTCTTCTCAATGCCATATAGTCTCGCCCCTCTGCTCGTCATCATGGGCTTAGCCGTGCTGGGGCTGCTGTGCCTGGTGGTACCGGCGCCTACGCTGACCAGTTCGCCGGAGTCCCGGATCAGCTCTGTCGTGGAACAGGGCTCGGAGAAGCCTGGTGAAGGGCGGCGCCGAGCGATGGAGCAAGCACAAAGCTGACGCGGAACAGAGCTTGGACAATGTCGTTCGGTGGCGCAGTCTATCGTCCCACCGCGCCATGTCATTGATCGGTTCGGATTGGTTTTTTCGAAAGCCTAGGACGCCTGGGGTCTTCTCGACGCCACAGTGCCCTGCGCCCGTGGGAGCGGAGCCGTGGAGCGATTACGGGGGGGACCCGCATTTATACCACAAGTATGTGTTTGCGGCAAGCGCAACAGGACCTCTATTGAAATGGGTGCCCTCGACGGGGTCTACTTGAGCAGTACCAAGTGCTTCGAGGATCACATGGGCTGGGCGGCGCCCTCATCGAGGCCTCGCCTCCCAGCGGTGTGCAGCTCCGCGGAAACCGCGGGCAAGCGAGGAATTCGATATTCGGAGAAGCCGTGTGCGCAAAGGGCACCGGCCATATCGACCTCTTGGTCGGGGACACGCTGGCAACGAAGAGCGAGGCAGGGGTTATGCCGGACAGCTGGGTGGACCGCTTCAGCCCAAACGAGCCGAATACGGTGGAAGTGGGCTGCGGGCCTCTCGGCGAGATTCTGGCCGATCTGTTGAAGCAGAGGGGCGCCGACCAGATCGATTTGTTTTCTCTCGAAGTGGAGGAGGGCGGTGAACTCAAAGTCTTGGAGACAACGGATTAGAACGTGAAGGTCGGCTTGTGGTTCATCGAGTACGATGGCGGGCGGCCGTGGAAGCTGAGGGACCTGGACGCGATCATGAAGTCCAATGGGTACAGGCTGGCTCCCGCCGAGGCATGGATGACGAACGATGCCTTCTTCGCTCTCATCTAGTTCCCATGAATGAAAGACAGTGGCGCGCGGGGGCAGTTCCAGTGATTTGCCACTTTGGTTCAGTTGACATCCCGTGAAAGTGGTCGTATAATACCCGTTGTTCGACATGTTTGTCGTTCGACATGTTGGTTCAGTGGGACAACATCATGAGACTCACGCCTGCGTATCGTGCCGCAGGCACTCTGCTCGGCACTCGCTTCTTGTGCCGAGCAGGCACGGCCGGAGCTGCCAGCTCGTGCGCGATGGGAAAAAGTCTCTTCTGCAGTGGCCGCTGCTCTGGCCTAACGCTTGCCTGGATTTCAATCCGAGCAGCTCTGCTACGGATCCCGAGGCTCCCTGGCGCGCTGGATCACACGATTAATGTAAGGGTGTACGCGCGACTATTTCTTGTACACAACATGTGCATGTCGTTTATGAAGCGCTTGCCGAACGATGCGACGCAAAGGCAAACAAATATATATATATATATATATATATATATATATGCGCTTGTGAAACTGACCAGACACTCGAATCCCTCGCCCAGGATCCTGGGGCCCCCCAGTGCGCTAGACCCATCAGCGCTGCCAGCGCAGGCCCAGATTGGCTGCCCAAGGAGAGGAAATCCATTCCAGCATGGCTGGGACGTTGCGAGGAGAGTGGCGGTTTAGATTTCTGCGTATGCTCTCCAGAGGAGGAGTAGGAGTAGGAGTAGGAGTAGGAGTAGGAGGAGGAGGAGGAGGAGGAGGAGGAGGAGGAGGAGGAGGAGGACGACGACGACTTTGTGTCCGTGCCGGGCTGGCCATCATCCCCCTACCCTCATTGCAGGAGGCGATGGAGAAGGCGGAAAAGGGCGCATCCGAAGAGGAGGAAGAGAAGGATGGGGAGGAAGGAGGACGATGAGAGCAGCAGTGGGAGGAATGTGGATGGGGGAGGAGAAGGAGGAAGAGGAGAAGGAGGGTGAGGAGGAGGAGGAGGAGGAGGAGGAGGAGGAGGATAAGCCGCCAACACTTAATTTGCCCCCTCCCTTTCCAG